CCTGCTGAGGATTCCCTGGCTAAGTCTATACTAGTAAATGAAATGTGAGAGGGATTATTTCTCTGCCATAGAAACCATCTGTCAAAAAAAAAAAACCAAAAAAAAAAAAACAACCAAAAAAAACCAGCCAGTCTATTTACTAAGCATTGTGCCATGTTCTTTTAAACTCTGTCACCTTCCAACAGAGTGTAGCCACATCTGAGTTGCCTTCTGGGACTGGTCACTAGCCTATCTTAATTGCCAAATTGTGCCCAGGAATTGTTTGGAGGAATGTTGTTTGGAAGGAGCAAAACTTCACCAGAGATCCTTTTAGTTAGTCTAACACTCCAGATTAGCAGCAGAAAACTGTGGATCCTGCTTTCCCAATAGCTCAACTAGCTGTATGGTCACAAAGACATTTGTTTTACTGACTGCTATTAAGACTGGGGCCACCTCGTTTCCATACTCGTTTCACCTGGATTTTCTTAGCAATCATGGAGAATCAGAGGGGTAAGAGAGAGAACTGCTGGAAAGCTTAGCAACTGCTGACTGAAACAAAGGTGATTCAGCATTGACTCACAACGCATGAAGAAGTGACTGTGAAAGTGGTCAGCCTGAAACTCACTCACAGCAGAAACCCAAAGAGATATATTTCATTCCTGAAACAGAGCCAAATTAAAATTTAAAAGGTTAAAATTCTGAGTTTGGATCAGATTTACTTTAGATCCATGCAAATTACAGGACTCAAACCAAGGTTAACCAAACATTCTTTATAATCTGTATTATAGAGGAGGCCAGACAAAAATCATACGTTTTTTTCACCCAACCTAACCAGAGTTCACAGTTCCCTTCTATCCCTTAAAGCAAGCTGTGTCTTACAAAAAGAGAACTGGCTCACGGTTGTGGTAGCAGTGAAAGAGCTAACTATGGAAATTTAATTTCCCAGTTCTGCCACAAACTTGCTCTGTGACTATAGCAAGTCATCTGGAAGATGATCTACCTCTCCATATGTTAGCCACTGAACAGCTACACTCTTAGTCTGACTTAGTCACCTACTTCTCCTGGCAGCCTGTGAAGACAGGTATTTCCATAGGGTAACTTGTTCTATGCATTCTAGACATTTTCTTAAAATGAGAAGAGATTGCCCTCTGGAGGTGCTTTTATCTACTGAACATAGATGGACTCAGAAGTCCAGGCTGGATGCTTGCATTCAGGGTGGCTGAGAAGAATCTCACCCTTAGGTCTACTTGTCTGACTGACTTACTTATCTGCAGAGTGACTAATAGAACTTTTTAAATCCTCCTATCTAGGTTCTTCAAATATACTGGCTATCTAAGCAGCTATGATGAAAAAGCATCCTGCTTGATGATGCTGCCCTGGTATCAGCCTCTGACATCTCAAATCAATCAGTTCAATCGTGTACAAGATGGTTTAAACAAAACCAACAAAAAATGTGCAGCTATTTTTCAGACAGAATGGTTCCCTGCTTTGATTCTCAGACCAGTCATGCAAATACTAGTGTTAACAGCAGCGAAGTAACGGGGATGGGTAAGTGGGAATGAGCAGACCACACCTGTTGGTGGCAGCCCAAATTTGTCCTAGACAAAAGTGGTGATACAATCATAATCTTATTTGATTTTTAAATGTAATTTTAAATGAGTTAAAATATTCCAATTTTCTCTCTTTTTTTTTTTTTTTTTTTTTTTCTTTTTTTTTTTTTTTTTTTTTTTTTTTCTCCTTTTGGGGAGAGAACCAAACACTATAGATTTGACTTGGGGTTTTTTTGTATTTTAAATTTGTTATGACCCTCAGTAAAAAATGTGTTAAAAAGAAAAGAAAACAAAGTTGACAATAAACTAAGATATATTAAAAAAACAAATAAAAACTTATAAGTGACACATTACTATCAAAACACAAAATTACATATCTTTAGTGTATCAGATACTTTCTACTGTGAACTGAGCTTGTGTTACCATGTAAACACAATAATTTAACGTCCTTTTAAATTTAACCTTCTCATGATCTCAAGAATAGCAAAAGAACTTACTATTTTTTAAATTTACTGTATCATAGAAAATAGTAATAAAAATACTGAATTTGTGGTGCAAGCTTGTATAAATGAACTTGAGTTCCTTGCAAACAACAGGGCTTGCTTCTGGTGAAATGTAATCTGGAGAGTCTTTGAAACTTTACCTTACCAGAGAATTCTTCACCCACCACCATAGCCTTAGTTCACTCTGAAGTGAATGAATCAATCCAACTAAATACCAGGCTTTTTCTCACTGACAGGTCATACATTTTGCCCCAAGTAAATAATGTGGAGTATATTTCTAAGGCTTTAGAGAGGATCCTGAGGAATCCTATAGCATACTCAGCATTCTCTCGCTAAAAAGTCTTTAATCAGGTGAAATAGGTTTCAGCTAAACTTGGATGAGTTAGTTGTCTAGACATAAGAGTCAGTAGAAGACACTATTCAGGTGTCATATACCCTATTCTAATACTGATGCTTAAAATAGTTCAGATGAATTGTGCAGTGTAAGATCCCCATTTCTTTCCATTGGGTATAAAGATAGTCCATGTTCTTGACTCCAGCATAGACATCTAACATTAGACAAAGCAAATCTCTGTCCTAGCCAAGTCAAGATGATAAAAAGCAATATTTCATCCCTAATAGACCCAAATACAATAGACCCAAAACAAAATACAAACCAGGGAGATTTAAAGGATTGAATTGAATCAACACCCCTCCACCAGCATGTCAAGACTAATGCAGTGTTGATTAGGAAATAAATGCAAGACCTCTTCAGGTGCACGCCCCTTCCACTTACAAGTTGAGACAGGCAATGCTACCATCAGGGGGCTCTCCTCAACACCCCTCCACAGGAATACAGCATGAGAGAAGCTCTGTTTAAGCCAGCTTTGTCCCTAGCACCCTCTTTGTTCTAATTTGTCATTTTTACACACCTAAACAGAAGAAAAAGCTTTTGGCTAGACAGGCTAGCACTGTGAGCACGTGCAGACTGGCCATGATCCTCTGGTGTTGCAGAAGCTGTTCTCTGACCTCTCTTTCTTTACTTCTGAATTATTTTTTTTTGTTTGTTTGGACTAGATTCTGCTGCCAATACCTTCAGCTAGCTTGTGAATATGGAAAACTCAGTTCTCTTGGGTCTTCAAGAGATAAGGATTTTATCTGATCATTTTCTCCCTCACTTCCCTAAGTGCACAGCTGACAAGATCCAGCTAGCTGTTTTTCCCTGAGACAGACTATTTCTGAGTTCAGGTTATGGCACAGTGACCCACAGTAAAACCCTCAGGCAGGCTCAGCACGCTATTTGATTTACACGGAGTGTGCACAAACAGGCTGTAAGGCTGTACTCCCAGTTCTGTATGCACAGCAAATCTTCAAGCATTGGAATAAACACCATGCACTCAATTTCAACAGCACATCAACATGATAGAAGGTACTAACAGCAAGTACAAAGGTCACAAAACCACGCAGCTCCAAATCAACAGCTTAAACAAATCACACAGGTGTCCTTGAAGTGAAGCCTCAGAATGACTTTGTTAGTTAGTTTGGTTTTTGCAATTCTGTTTCTCAGGTCTCTCTCTTGCCTAGCTAAGAAAGAAAGATGAAAAATGACAAAGTCAGAGGTAGCTACTGACTGCAACCCAATGTCCTCTGTAAGATGAGAGCTTCTAACACCAGAACTGTACTCTTTCCTGAAAGCAACTCCTTCTCTCCATGTCTTCGTCTTGTTATTTTAAAAATAAAAATCACGTATGGCTGGCATGTAACTGCTTT